CTTAAATTGTATATATAGGAATTGTATATATTTAAATCGTACAAAACAGCATGTTTTGATAGATGTATATGTTGTGAAATGATCACCGTGCTCAAGCTAATTAATACATGCGTCACCTCCCATGGTTATCTCTTTTTTTTTGTAATGAAAACATTTAAAAGATTTACCTTCTTAGCAAATTTCAAGTACTATATATAATAACAGTTTTGTTGACTGTAGTGATTGTGCTGTACATTAGGTCTCCTGAACTCATTTATCTTGCATAATTGAAACTTTGTATCCTTTGGCCAACATCTCATTTTGCCCTCCTGGCAACCACCACTCTACTCTCTGCTTCAATGAGTTTGACTATTTTAGATTACACATGAAAATGAGATCATGCAGTATGTGTCTTTCTGTGCCTGTCTTACTTCACTCAGCATAATGTCCTCCAGGTTCATCTATGTTGTCGCAAATGGCTGTATTTCCTGGTTTTTTTTTTTAAGGCTGAATAATAATATTCCATTGTGTATATATACACCATGTTTTCTTTATCCATTCATTCATCCATAGACACTTAGGGTGTTTTGATATCTTGCCTATTGTGAGTAATGCTGCAATGAATATGGCAGTGCAGATGTTTCTTTGAGATTCATATTTCATTTCCTTTCTATTTTTAATTTTTTGAGGAACCTTTTTATTGTTTCCATAATGGCTATGCCAACTTACATTCCCAGCAACACTGTACAAGGGTTCCCTTTTCTCTACCTCCTCCCCAACATTTTTTATCTTTTGTCATTTTGATAATAGCCATCCTAACAGGTGTGAGGTGTTATCTCATTGTGTGTGTTTTATTTTGTTAAGAGACTGGATTTTGCTCTGTCACCTAGGCTGGAGTGCATTGGTGCTATCATTGCTCACTGCAGCCTCCAACCATGGGCTAAGTGATCTTGCTGCCTTAGCTTCCTGAGTAGCTGGGACTCCAGGCTGCCACTGTGCCTGGATAAGTTAAAAAAAAATTTTGTAGAGATGGGATCTCACTATGTTGCTGGTCTCCAACTGCTGGCCTCAAGCGATCTTCCTGCCTCCGCCTCTCAAAATGCTGGCATTATAGGTGTGAGCCACTGCACCAGGCCTTCATTGTGGTTTTGATTTGCATTTCCCTGATTAGTGATGTTGAGCACCTTTTCATGTTCCTGTTGGCTATTGTATGTCTTCTTTTGAGAGATGTCTATTCAGGTCCTTGGTCTATTTTTTAATCCGGTTATTTGTTTTCTTGCTATTGAGTTGTTTGAGTTCCTCGTATATTTTGGATATTAATCCTTATCACATGTATGATTTGCAGATACTTTCTCCCATTCTGTAGGTTGTCTCTTCACTCTGTTGATTGTTTACTTTGCTGTGCAGAAGATTTTTAGGTTGATGTAGTCCCACTTGCCTGTTTTTTCATTTGTTGCCTGTGCTTTGGGTGGGTACCACTTTACACCCACTAGGATGGCTATTATTAAAAAGATGGACAATAACAAATGTTGATGAGATTGTGGAGAAATCGGAACCCTAATACACTGTTTATGGGAATGTAAAATGGCGTGGCTGCTTTGAAAAACAGTGGTCAGTTTCTCAGAAAGTTCAGCACAGAGTTACCATATGACCCAGCAATACCACTCTTAGGTATAATCCACATGAATTAAAAACATATGTCCACACAGAAACTTGTACATAAATGTTCATAGCAGCATTATTCATAATAGTCAAAAAGTGGAAACAGCGCAAATGTCCTTCAATCGATGAATGAATAAAGAAAATGTACTATATTCACATAGTGGAATTACTATTCAGCTAT